AAAATTATTACATATACCTTGAGAGATTCAGTGGAAACAAATCCACCTCTAGTAGTCCTTTTGTATCCAGTAGTTCAATCATAAAATCTTCAGATGAATTGTCCTTTTTCTTTAGAAGAAAATATTTCTTCTTCCAAGGAATGAACTAAAATACAAATCAGTATGTGAAAGAAAAATTGAAATGTACAAAACAAGAAAAACAAAATCAGTTGTATTAAGACTACAATTACTATCCTAAGTTACAAGATACATCTGTAGAAGGGTTTAACCCTTTAACTCCCAAGATCCGATTATTAATTCTCCTATCTAGCTGCTACACATTTCCTTATAAATTAGTTATGAGAACTTGGTGCTAGATCAAGATAGCAGCTTCTACCTGATAAGTTTGAATATTCTCATTACCTGTTTGCTAAAGAATGTGTGGATATTGTAGGGAGAAGTTTTATGTTAATCTGACTCCTGGAAGTTAAAGGGTTAAGATGTTTTAAGGACAAAATAATATTTGGAAGGACCATGCTGTATTCTGTTGAAAAAAGTATATATTTACTGAACTTACAGAATCCTTTGATATTATGTTGTACCACTGATGGCACACTAAGGCACAATTCAACATCAAATCCACTATAGGCAATTGACACAAAATGTTCTCCAAAATCTCCACAGGCAAATGAGTTAAATCAGTACTGCATTGATTGAAATCTTGAGAATCGTCTTCCTCATCAGAATCAATAATGTCACCACCAAAAAGACCAAATGTTGAACTTGATGATGATTTTGTTTTGGCTTGCTTAGTAGATTGAGAAGATATAGAATTATTTTTCTTGCATCCTCTTTTGCTGACTGCACTTTCCAGGCTCACTTGACCACTATGAATGCAGAAATCATTCCAGTAAGCTTGTGATGTACTACATGTAGAGTTTCCTCTCACATCAGAATCACGCTTAGCTTTTCTTCCATGAACAACGTTCATAGTTAAACAGCAGTCACTGTCATTTGAAGAACCTTCATCATCGCTTTTGACGAAGATGGTATTCAGGGCACTCCTCTGATTCTTTCCAGATTTTCCCTTCAAGTTCTTTTGCGTTCTGGTTGATCGAGGAGCGCGTTTCATGTTTCGCGCCGACGGACTCGACGATGATAAACTGGATGTAAGCGTATTTAAACAAGAACTGGAAGATGGCGAAGAGAACGAAGATGAAGCCACAAAGTCAGGAACACGTGTATATCCGTCAATGAGCGATTGTTTTCCTTCAGAGGAACAAGTTTTTGAGCTGGAATTACAAGGAACTTGGAAATCCTCCGGTTGGCTAGTAACACTCGCTAAATTGCGCTCTACAGATGCAATTGAGTGCTTTTGAGTTCCTGAGCTCCATTTTCCAGTTTGCAAATAAATGTTAGCGGCTGAAGTGAATCCAAGTGTGGGTGAAAGTGTCACTTGATCTTTGAATCCGCGCTGTCCGTTCAAAATAGAACCACAGGTTGCAATACCGGGCGTACGCGTAGAGGGATTTGCAGTTGGTTTAACGAGGAAGTTCACGTCTTCTTTACTGATACCACTTCTAGGAGTAAAATATTGTGAAATACTCCGTTGACGTGGATTCGAAATAGACATATTTCGCTTTTTTCGGGGAGTGGTATTTCGATCCATGAAACTTTAAAAACTCCTCATCGACTTCCAGTTTGAATTCACTCGTTAGCCGCCATTACCGATGGTCTGTACGCCCCAGTGCTCCTCGATATTTTTAGGGAAACTTTCTACTCTCTAGACAGGGGGTGGGGACGGGAAATTATAAAAAGGCTAAATTTGTCACTAGTTTTACTACAAAATTTTACAAGCAACAAAGAAAATGTATTGACAATAATCTTACTCACTTCTCTATAGTTTTCTCTCGGAAATTTGCTTTACTTTACTGGATCAATGTCAGTATCTGAGTAAATACACTTACCCCTCCCCTAATCCAATATTTACTTTGCATATGACTAGGGGAGGGTTAAGTACGTTGTTGCTCTGATAGTTATAGTAAACATTTTTTACTCCCTCTCCCTCTGTTGGTCAGTTTTGTTCCGACCAAAATGGCGGACGTTATGAACGAAACTTGTGTTGGTAAACAACTCTCTTTCGAATATCCTCTCCCTTTACGCTTGGTTCAAGCCAACAAACGAGATGAATTCATGAGTATGGTCGACTCTAATGCTGATCAGGAAGGCATATTGAACTGTGTTCATTTGAAATCGGGCGACACTCCAATTATTGTCGCTGCGCGCCATGGCCATCTGGATTTGATGAAATTCTTGATTCTTCGCGGTGTGGACATTGAACAGCGAAATAAGGACTTGAAACGAGCTTTGCATGAGGCAGCTGCTAGTAGTCATCTAGACTGTGTCAAGCTTCTTCTTTCAAAAAACGCAGAGATTGACTGTCTGAAGAGAGCGGACTGGTAAACCTTAACATAATAAGCTTACTAACCCTTCACACTCTAACATCAATATCCATATTCTCCATACTGTTCTCTATACATTTCTCAAGGTACTGAAAAGGAGAATTTGTTTAACAATTAAGAGCTTCTTTGGTTAGAGATCATTTTCTTCATTCTCCTGACCCATGTGTTTGACTTGGGAGCAATATTGTAGGGAGAATTACAAATAATGTCTGAACAGGAAAATTTAGTTTTCTCAACTGAATTGGTGATGTAGGTGGCCGTTGTGAAGAGCTTATAAAGCTGATGTTTTGAGTGTTAGCCCTTTGTTGGCTCTTTGCTCTTACAGAGGGCTACTGCTTGAAATGTGAGCTTTAGAAACTCTTTAACCCTTTAACTCCCATGAGTGACCAAGACAGAATTTCTCCTTACAATACCAATACAATATCAACCAGATAAGTGATAAGAATAAAGAAAAATATTATAAGGGATAATTAGTTGATACAATACTAAATTCTTTGAAATAACATTATAAGAAATGTATGATTGACAGTAAGGAAAATTACAAATTTGATTTGGGAGTTAAAGGGTTAAAAAGTTTGAAGAGTATGTGTTCATGTAATATCTTGCATGCAATAAAGCCTACCAGTTTTGCTTTTGTTCACAGAATGCATTTTTGATGGTTTGTCAGTATAGGACACCATTGATGATGTCTTGCACCAAGATGAACATTGATATCATCAGAGTATTAATCCAAAGTAGAGCCAACTTGAGACTTGCCAATAAAGATGGCTGGAACTGCTTTCATATTGCTGCCAGGTATGTGTAATAGTAATATAATAATACTAGCAATAATAATAATGATACCAGTAATGATAATATTTATACAGGATAACCCTGTCAGTGTTTTGACACTGATATCAATAGGGGTCTTGAAAGTTAATTTTAGTTTTTACATTAAAAACAGTAATGGTATTTTAAAGTAAAATACTGTATAAAATCAATCTAAAAGATGTGTTACTATGGTATGATTAGAAAGTCCTTAATTTCCTTTGAAAATTTTGGAAAAAGAATCCATTGCCTTCAAATGGCAGGGGGAGGCTGTTGCACTCTATGGCCCAAAAAACATGAAGACTTGTAAATGTGTTAACTACATTAATCTAAAAAATTTCACTACAGCATGATTTAAAGGTCCTTAATTTTCTTTTGAAAATTCAGTAAAAGAATTGTTGGCCATTGAATGGTGTGGGGAGGCTGTTGTATTCTTTGCCTTGCTGATCCAGAAATAAAAAGACTTTACCACATTAACTAAACATAGTTAATGGAGGTGAAATCAGAGATTTCAATACAAGCTGGCTACTGGCTGTCTGCTGCAACCTGTAAGACCTCAATGCTGTTTGTTTAGCCTGCAATCAGGCTCTGGTGTGTGGGTTTAGCCTTGCAGCACAGTTATGACACAGCCTATTTTTGAAACCTCTGTGCTTCTTAGAACTGTACAAATGTGTAACTGTTCAGAGAGTGTGGCACAAGTTTCTTAGGCCAATCCATTTTCTCCCTGTTCCACAAATTAGTTGCAAGATAGTGGACTAAAGGCTTACAGTTTTCCTTGAGCTTTGCCTTTTTGTAGCTTAGAATACTGCTTATCTCTTGCAGCTGGTAATTTCCCTAGAAGCAAAATATCCTAGCACATTTTCTAACCAAATGGAAGTTATTATTTTATGTCCATGCTTATTTTACTGTCATTCACTTTCATAGGGAAGGGGATGTAGAAATTTTGAATTATCTTCTTGATTGTTGTGCTGATATTTGGGACAGTTGTAGCAAGAATGGACGAACACCGCTTCATACAGCAGGTGACTAGAAATCACTTTTTCTTTTTTGTCAGAAATTTGTAAAAATATTTTAGCTGGCTGACCCTGGGTTAAAATCATTCAATTCTATATTTCCAGCTGTTTCTTGCAAGTTCTGGGTGTTCAGAAATTGGAGAAGTCTCTATCTAAATTGTACTGTCCTAAAGTTATTGTATATTCATATCTAGACCAATATGTTTTAGTATGCTCATTTTAATTGGTTTTTTTTTATGATAAATCTGTTGTTTTCTATATTTACCTAGCACAATGTTTACTGCTGGATCACTAAAAATTGTCTCTAAATGATCACAAAATGAATATATGATAATTATTACTTATGATGTAAGTGCTATCCCTCCAACTGATGCACATAACTAGTTTTTGTTAGAGCCTTTGTGATAATTTCTTAAAAATTTTTTCAGCTCTGCATGGTAGAGTGGATGCTATAAAACTCATGATTAGCAGGTGAATATACTTTTACAATCAGACTTACCAAGTTGGTAACTTCTGGAAGGAAGTGCATAGCTAATGCAGAAACTATTTATGTCTTGAACACACTCTTGGTAAAGAATCTTGTTTGTGCTTCATGCATCCTCCCCTTGAGCATGACTTACAATTCATGCTTGCCTAACACTTGTCCCCATTTGCCTGTAAAAGGCAAAAAATAACACCTGTTCTGCAGGCTTAAGGGCACTTGACCAGCTCTTAGGGACATGTACATGTATGTTCAGGTTTTGCTTCATCAAAAACTCATTAACAAAAATAGTTGATTGGCTGTTTCAGATGTAGTTACATACCAGATAGTCCTGACAGTTGTGGCTCAACACCTCTAATGGATGCCCTACGAGCAGGACATGTGCCAGTAGCAGAGACTCTCATCAATGAACACAAGGTACTGTTCACTCTATGTCCAAAGAAGTAATCAACATGTACACTGTTAAAAGTACTCAATTTAACCATGAGCACGTGATGTAAACTAGCATGAGCAAGGGAGAGATCACCCAGACTTCAGAAAATCTGCTTTCCTGATGGTATTTCAGTTATGTTCCTGCCTTGCAAGCTAAGAATTTTCTCATAGCTGGCATATTTTGTGTTAACCCTTTAACTCCCAGAAGTGATTGACTTGTAAATTCTCCCTGTAACATCTGTACATTATTCAGCCACCAGGTAATGAGAGTACTCAAACTTATTAGGAAGAAGTTGCTATCTTGATCCAACACCAAATTCTCATAACTTATTTACAAGGAATTGTGTACCAGTTAGAGGGAAGAATTAACAGTCAGATCTTGGGAGTTAAAAGATTAAGTGCATGCTCAAAATTCTGATTGAGAGTGGGAAGATACATACCTATTTACATTTTTGAGCAATCCTGCAATGCAACAACTTGTTGATTGGACATGCTGTTAGACACAAATGAAGTCTGCCTGTTAGGCTATTCCCTCTGTTCCCAGCTTCTTTGACATAAAGTGAACTGTAGAGTTACAACTTCATCAGGATAGCATTCTTATGAGTTTCCCTAATCCGAGGTTGTAGGTTATCTCATGCATTAGCCCTGCAGTGGCAAGGGGCATTGTTAGTCTCACAACAAATTCCAATGATCCTGGCTTCAGCTTGGTCCAGGACCACTCAACCTAGAGTCCAGTCAACAAACCACTGGTCCAGGAGATTGTTAATGGTGCCTAGGAGTGACAAGGAGTCAAATAAATGTTGCTTACCTTTTCCTGATATTTTTTTCATTCTGTGGCAGACATTAACAATGAAATTGCCCCTCAATCCACCCCTCTCCCCTCCCCCTCTCGGGCCATCATAATTTTATTGTCATGTTCTTTTTGTGCAGGCTTCCATAACTGCCAAGGATCAGCTTGGCAGACAAGCTATTCATTTGGCTTCCCAAGCCGGCTGTATCAAGTCACTGAATTTCCTGATTACAAAGTATGCTGTAGATGTCAATGTATTTACTGAAAAATCAAGAAAGACTCCTTTACATCTGGCTGCCAAGGTATTGAGGTTTTTCACCCAACGTAAACTGCAGCATTGTTTTCTTCATCTAGGTATCTCTACCAACTCTGATCTAAATAAATCTTTTAAGCCCTCAATGACCTGATCAATATTGTAAAACATAGGCGTCTGGACCTTCCAATTAACCAGGGGACGGGAGCAATCAAGTGAAAGGTAGCTGGGGGGGAACCCTAGAAAATGTGTAAGAGCGTGGTAATTGCAATTGGTCTAAATCTGCCTTCCCATCCCTCCCCTCAACTATGTATTCCAGTTGTTATCTCACCAAGTCTAGACGGGTGGTTAACAATATGTCCTGTAACTTTTCACAGGAGGGTCACGCACAAACTGTACAGTTTTTGCTAGATAAAGGAGCAGTTAAAAACGCGCAGGATAAGAACGGAAGAACAGGTAATGTTTGTATGTCTTTCTTGTTTTGGATTTTAGTTTTTATATCCAAGTTTTACTGTTATTTGGTGAATTCTGTGGCAGACTTTAATAAAATGAGAGGCACATAAACACCACGTCATAGCAAACATTGCAAGTTTGCACGGGTTAAAGAATATGTAAAGAACTTTTGTGCACCAAACGTCAGAGCCTCTTTGTGAAGGGTAAAGGAAAAGAAGACCCTAGGTCTTGTTATTTAGTAATTAGTGTCCAGTGTTTCCATTTTATTGTTTCGAATCTTTAATTAAAATTTCGTTTCTTGGGCGATGTTCGTGAACAATACGCATGGACGTTACATTTGTCTTTTACATGATAATATGATCACATTTAAAGTGTTTCATTGTTACACTCAGCCTCCAATGTAGACAGCGAGTTTTTTTGGTAACGCATTTCCATGAAATTTGTTCACTTGATTTTCAATAAAAGTGGGTTTGGCACTGATTTTGTTTACGATCATCAACTGATCTTTGATTTGGAAGATGGGCATTGCCAAATTTTGCTGTAGTATTCTTTTAAGGGAAACGATCCAAGTTCATTCTCATTCGTTTTAAATTGAAATTTGAAGATAAGTTGGGTTTTATTGAAATGATAATTCAAGGTAATACAATTTTTTCCAAAAACAATTATGATAATAAAGTATTTACTTTTAGGCTTTTTAGTCATTTTTTTGCAGAGATTACGGTGTCTAGGTAGAACGTGCCTTAACCCTTTTCCTCCTAAGAGTGACCAGCATCTAATTTCTCCTTACAATATCAACCCTGAATCACACATTAAGGTCACAAGTATAAAGGAAATGATCACCAACTCAAGAAGTTGTTGATTGTTAAACAAATTCTCCTTGTCAGCACCTTGGAAAATGTATAGAGAACAGTATGGAGAATATGCATACTGATTTTAGGGTGCAAAGGGTTAAGAGTTATTTTTTGTGTATTCCTAGCTCTCCATCTCAGCTCAGCGGCCGGCCACGAAGCATGTGTGGATATTCTATTACGCGTAAATGATTTGGATAGAACCATAACAGACTGTTCAGGACTTACAGCTGAAGACCTCGCTCTTGAGCCTGCAGTCCGACAAATGCTCAAATCTGTGGCAGAATGATTGTGGTCCTTAGAAAGATTTTTCCAGCTGAGTGCTGAAAGCAATCCAGGAGTGCTTTGGCTTTGCTTCACCGTGCTTTGTGATTGGTTAAAAAAATCATGCCACATTCTCAACCTATGAGATGCAAGACTTTGAGGCGAGATACAGCTGAACTTTTCGAGAGACAAAGTTATTACTTTTAGTTGAGGACTGAAAAATAACAAGACAGCCTCTAAATTATTGGAAGGACGGACACGTGCCATACGCAAAAGTGTTTTTGAATCACCTTGAAATTGGTCACTAAGAAACCTGGTAAAGACGTTGTTAATTGCGAGTGATGGCCTTACGAATTCTCCTTACAAATATAGGACGTTTTCAAAGACACAAGTGATGAGAAGATCGGAGTCTTCAACCAGCATAAAGAAAATGATACTGAAATGTACTGATGCTATAGCGAATTTTTTGGGAATCTTATTGACACTTCAAGTGGCATCAGAAGCATATAACCTCGGTTATAAGCTTCTGTTGGCATACACAGGGGGTTTGCGTGGTCGTGCTTGTCAACACAGCTAGATTGAAAAACAGATTATGTACAAAGCATACATTATAATTCCTACGAATAATTACTTTTTAAGTTCTTGTGAAGATAATAACAAGCGATTTTTTTAGCACTTCCTAATATTTTTCTTATAATTGTTTAGGTGATAATGGAAATGTGCACTCTGTGATTGGTCGCGATGTACATCATATCGCACAAGAATCACCTCGCGCGTGTTGATAATAATACTGAAGCACTCAGTTTCAAAATAGTCTTTGCACGAGTTTATGATGTTCTTAACGAAGAAACGAGTTTAATGAAATAAAATGCAGTTTCTCTGATAATTACCGTAGCAATTATACTCAAACAATGATCCCCCGCGGGTTTAGCGAATATTGTCGAATAATCCCTGTGACTTTGTCACGAGGATTAACGACAATATTCACTTCGCCTTCCGTGAAAAATTGTTTTATATGTTTGTCGTATGTCTTCAGTGATAATGTATTCTGTTTAAGGAAGAAGGGTAACTAAATTTGTCCATCAATTATGCGATGGTAAAGGTCAAACGTTACTGGCAGATTTTGATTTTAAAGGAGTCTCTTTTAAGGCAAAGGAGGAATGCGTGTAGAGTCTGCAGGAAAGAATTCGTAGATTCCTTTATGTTTGTTTGTTTCTATGTGTGTTTTGTATTCTTTCTTTTTCTTCTAAGAGAAGGCGAAGGAGCTTCTTTTGTTACATACACACGCAAATTTTCGTGTAGAATCTGTGTCAGACAGGATTCTCGCATATGCATTGTACATTGCTTGGCAACTGTACTTGAAGAACATTTAACCACCTACTGCCGTTGGTTCTTTTCAATTCAGTGAAGAGCATTCAGTTTAAATATTTTTAGAGTGCGAGATTTTCAGTGGTGTTGACAAGCGCCATTTTACCGGTCTAAGGTATACCTCTGTCCACAAGGCTCTCCAGGATTTCCTACCAATGTCTGTGAAAGAATTCAGTTCGATGATTTAAAGGAATATTTATTTTGTGGTTAAAGACACCTTCCCCTATTGAATGCCACTTGTGAAGAGGTTATTAAAACCCTTAGCAACCAGAACCATTAGTTCAATTCATTTTCTGTTTATCACTCAAGTAATTCCAGCTGGCTCATCCATGAGCTAGGATTCAGGGTTATTAACCTCTTCAACAGAAATAATCCACAGTTTTGTCTACGACACAATCCTTGCACTGAGTGTATAAAATCACAGGTGCACATGTGGCCATTAAGAGGACATTAAAACCCAGGTGGCGAGAGCACTTAGTTCAGTTATCTTAGAATACAAACGTGTGTCTTAGGACATTTCTCCCTTGTCATGGAATGCATTTAAATTTCACATCTTCCGTTTTTTTCTTCTTTCAAATTATATATCTCACTGAAAATGCCGCCTATGACGTAACTTTAACACAAGCTAGCACAAACCGCGGTTTCTTTCAAACTTTGACGCCATTAAATATCAAAATAATGGCCTGTCGATTGTGGTCGAAGCTTCATGTTTTCCCCTTGTTCCGTTTGACCTTTTTGTGAAACCGCATCGAATCTCGGTCAGATAAGTAAACATTTCATAACTGTGGTATTGTAGCGATGTTTTAAATTCTTTGCGTGAGTCAACTTAATTGAAAGTACACAATGCCCTTAACACATCCAGCCGAGGGGATTGGAACAAAAACCTCAGCGCCGAGAATAATATTCATTTGAGATTATTTTAGCTCGCCGGAAGCGATACAATGCGGCGTTATATTCGGCGACGGGTAAAGTGAACTTAAAATTAACATTTGCATAGTCAGCTGAATCGAAGATGTACTATCGACAGGTTTTGCCACAGCATCTTATATTGTTGTTCTTCTTCTGTCCTCGATCAAGTAAGTAAAAAATGAAACTTGTTGATAACTGTTAGTTTAAAGTTCGTTTTCGCGTACCACTGACGGCTTTTTATGTTTCTCCGCATGGCGGTTCTTATGACTAGAATGTCGCAGACTTGCTTTCTACGACTTTTTTTCATCCTCGATGCTGAATTTAAATTAAAATTGATAATATTTAAGACAGGGATATTAGTCAGTGCTTCGGGCAGAATAGCGACTTCCTATATTTTGCAGTTTGTAGAGAGGATCTTGGCGAAATTTTGTCGAGTTTCGAAAATGTGCCATTTGCTTTTTTAAGAAGTACGTGCTTCCCAAATTTTCAAGCGACAAAGCACCAACAGAACATGCAAATATATTCTGCTCGCACCCTCGAGTGTGGGCATCTAATGAGATTTTAATAAAAACATTGAGTTCGTGTTGTTTTGAATTTTGACTGTGAGAATTTATCACGTGGTTTCTGTTGTAAAAATTTACCACAAGTTTCCTCGCTTTTTTAGGATCTGTTTTTAAAGTTTAGTTTAGTAAACTCGCAACCAAGTACTATGGTTCCGCTGAACATTGTACTGTTAGTCATATACAATTATTTCCTTATAAAACCATTCTTTTAATGCAATCTTGGTGAAAAGTTGTTCTTGATAATATTCAGACTGCAAATTAAAGCGACATTTGGAACTGTTGTCGATATTTATGCCGAGCCATATTGGTTAACATATACACAGTAAGTGTACGCGTGGATTATGACAATTCCGCAATCACGTATATTTATAATATTTGTCGGTTACCGTTTTCTGAAGACTTGTATATTTTTAATTGTTAATTAATGCAACAGAGTGAAGTTGGCGAATTGTGTACTCTACCTCAACATTTCTCTTAAATGAAAGGGCTGTTGCGAACGGTTTGCAGTGCCATCTTGTTGTTTCGAATATTTTTGCAACCTTGACCTTGAGAAAGTTTACATTTTTTAGCATTTGTTTAAAATTACAATACCTTGAGGGAATCAAATGAATGAAAAATACATTTTGTTTTGAAATAACAGTGATGCATATGAATAAGTTTATTGAGTTCTTTAGCGCTCCGGTCTTAAGTCACACGAAACTATACATGCAGTAGAAATTGCTTCACGTATGCGCTGTTGCTTAAATTAGTTCTAGCGGAAACAGGACTTCACATACATTAGAACTGTATTCTCTCAGTAAACCAGCCGTGACAGGCCTAGGACATTTGCAATTCATGAAAGTTTTAATTAAATTCGACCTTCTGCCACCTCAATAGCGTTTCGTCTTTAAACTCCGCCGAACAGATTGATCAAAATGTAGGCCATGTTTTCTCTAGCCAACTCGACAAGTGAAAAAAATTACACGTTTCGAAAGAAAAACCGAACATATTGGATTGAAGTGCATTTACTTAACGGGAGTCGGGGGGTGGGGGGTGGGAGAGGGGGAGGCTGGAGCAATACTTGTCTTCGCTCGAAAGGATCAATTAGCTCGACGGGTTACGATGGAAAAGCAAAACAGAACTTATCTGAAATCGTGAGATGCAGTTTAGCATTCATAGCATTACTATTTCTGAACACTGTTTGGTCTGAAAAGAGGTCTGCTAGCGCTAAGAGTATTTTGAGTAGGGATGTGTACTTAGTTTGGTGTACGATGAGCCCTTCCCTCCCCTCCCCTCCCTTCAGTGGTAACAGTGCGTGTCGAGTGGTATATTTGGCTCGAGCTCGTGCGAGAGGTACGTGCGTCAATTATCTTCCAGTCCGACACGACCAAACTCGGTAGGTCAAGAAGCAATAGACGAGCGTGCGAAGATTCTTCTGAATAAAAATTTGCCCTTACTTTTCCCGACTCGCAATTCATCGAAAACCGCGAGTCATTTTTCGTTTCTGTTTTCCTCTAACTATAATTACACTTTTAGAATTCACGTTTCGGGAAAAATTTAAAAAATAAGAAAAGCAATACCAGTCCGGACGGCTTTTACCGGACCGGCTCACGCACGTCAACGCGGCCAGCCCTACTCAAGCAAGTTTTCATTATGATTTTCTATAGGGTTGCGTAAGCGGGGTTCGACCGGGTCATTTCGATATCTGGGATCCTTGTTACGTTATTTTTTCCCTCGTCAGGGTGTTCATAGGGAACTGTGCTACAAAGCTCCCTCGTAGGACTCTCTTTAGAGCAATCGCTTATCGTCTCTCTTACAGGATGACTCGGGTCCATCATCACACAACTAACTTCAAACAGTAGATTTAAATATGGTTTCTACGGTGCCATTAGTTTTTGTCCCCAGAGCCCCTTGCTTCTATCTACCGTTTCCTCTGCCACGCGATCACGAGGACTCTGGAGACGAGAATGCGGTGCTATGGGTCACGCATGCGGACGTGCTAGGAGAAAAATGGTCGCCCCCTACTGCGCATGTTCCACGCAAATAAACTGCGGGCTCTTGTATTCAAGAGAAACGATGCCTATCAACTCTTTTCGCTTACATCACTTTTTTATGAACGACGCCTTATTAAGTTTTGCATAAAATTTGATACCGGCGGATGTCTGTAAACGGGCAGGTACCAGCAGAATATATATATATGGCCAATCAAGAGTCACTGACTCACTGACTTTCAGCTGGACAACACGTAATAAATTTATCTGAAGCGTAACTTAAAAAATCAAGAAAAAGCTCCACATTCTGTTTAATATAAACAAAAAGAGATGAATTCGTCTTTACCGATAGACTAAATATCAATCACCATACCTGCAACATTCGTGCATACCAGCTGTAAAATAGGTGAAGATTACACTTGTCTGGCTCATTTGGGTGATGCTGCACGGTATTAGCGTCCCCCTTAGCAAGCCCGATATAACATTTCCGGTTATAACCATGCTCAGCTCTTAGCAAGGCATTATTTCAGAAGCAGGCCTACTTGTCTCTTCGTTTTGAGCTGATTTCTACAAGGAATTTCAAGTTTGTCGTCATTTAAAATGGAATACTGGCTTAGAAAAGGATTTGTCATCGTTTGGATCATACTTGCTAATGTTTGTTTGTGTGAGTAGATGTTCGCGGGTATTCGCTTCAAAACAATCAACAGGCTGACTGTTTGTAGATCACCTATAACGTTTATTCTAAGAATGATTTAAAGTAGATAAAAATTTGGAAATGGTTACTCTTAGGATAGGAGTTAAGCTAGGAAGTGCAGATCACCGTTGTCTTACACAACATGCAGGACCCGTTGCTCATGAAAATACGTTCTGTCAAAGCTGTTTGATTAATTTATAATCAGTTTGCGTTCGAAGTCATAACAAAACGTTCCTATGTGTTAGAAAGGAATGGCCTGCACTCTTCGGAATATTTGCAGCATCTCACTTTTCACATTGGTTTCTGTTGTTAGTCGGCCTACACGAGTTGCGGCTGAAGGAATTTTGAGACATAAAGGTTTTAGTTTGTTATGTAATTACTTACCTCAGTGTCAGTGAAAAAGGTGGATATTTACCTCTACTTCCCTGCATAATTTTTTAATATTATTTTGCTAAATATAACACTTGCTTCTGCATGCGTTGTAGTTGTACTAAAGCGCCACCTGTCACATCGTTTCTCTGACTCAGATGTTTTCTTAATTTCAGGTAAATCGTTGCCGACTCTGGATGACAATCGTATCACTTTACAATGCTTAGAGAATTACATGCTTCTTAAAATGGACTTGCAAGATTTACCAATAATTGAACCAACTTCACTTCACTTAAGGCACTTTTCTTGCAGACCACAAGTGATTAACACCAGTGCTTTATTTCGGGTACCCTTCCGAGGCTGCGGGACAACCCTCGGAATAGAACTCGATCACATTGTGTATCAAAATGTTGTGGACAATTCGCAGAAGATGAACGGATCACGCATGGCGGTTAGGCACGCCCCTGAACTGTATTACCCGTTTGTATGTCGCTATCGACAGAAATACATTGTTACTTTGAAAGAAGGAAGAGGGACGGATCAAAACAGTAAAACTGGCCGTGAAAATAGAAATCAGACAACAGAAGGTAACGTCTTTATTCTGAAACTCAGATGATCTCTTGAAATTCTGCTAAAATTTCGGTTGGATCTTTAAAATGACATAATATGATGAGAACTTTCTTAGTGCCGAGTCTTTAAACTTAGTTCAAAACAAATCATTCCCATGAAAAATTTCTTCTTCGTTACTTCGAAGATTTAAGAGTAAACAGACGTTTGGGACTATGACTAAGAAATCAGCATTGTTTTGATGTTCCCATGAACTGCAAAAATATACCACATATATTGTAACTCAATGGACCGATTAGCAGTGATAAGGTGCTGAGTTTTTCTAGGTAGCTCCTCTGTTAAACCTTCTTGATCTCGGGGTGATGAAGCGTCTCTATTCTTTTATTTTATCTTATTTGTCTGTTTATTTTTGTTTCTATTTCCTGACAATGTCTCTTTCTCTTTTTTGTTTCTATTTCCTGACAATGTCTCTTTCCGCTTCCAGATATTCCTAAGGTTGTGTCAAATTCGTCAAGTAACACTTCTCCTTGGATGCATAACGTTACTTGGCTCACTATTATTTTTGAACTTATGTGGACCTTGCTTCGAATTGTGCACTAATCTCTGATGGACCTGCGGTACCCTTCCACTCTGAAAATGATTGTATTCTCAACCGAGGAACATTGCATTATTGTTTTTCGCTTTTGATAAGCAAGTGCCTGAGGATCATCAAATTAAGCCATGGTGGGATTGTTTGCCGCGCTACGTATACGTAGTACATCATCTTCTTTAATGGCCTCGGTTGTAAAAAAAGTTATGGATCTTAAAATCAAGAGTCTTATCAAGATTGGTGTGTCTCTTTTTCGGAGATCACTTTATTAGAACAAAATGCGTCTATTGCATCAGATTAAACATTCGTGAGATATATTATGCTGGGTGTGGCAATGAAATGGAAGTAGAAATCTGGTCGGTAGTTGTAGGAACCCTGCTTTATCTGATCTCTCTGAACGATGACAGTTTTCAAGCAGTCGTTTTGCAGCACAAAGATGTGCCTCAAAGAACGGCTGTACTTACAGGTGAACAATTAACCACAGTGTTTTCTGCAAATGTAGCGCTTTTCGTCCGGTATCAGCTGAATGTTGGCTTCCCCAGCCATTGCAATTATTTTTTGATCTAAATAATAACCAGGGCATGTTTGTTATTAAATATCCTGGTTACCTAAGTTTACAATTGGAATTAAAACTTGTGAATATTTTGGGTTGATTTATGACCATGTGGATCATTCATGCAGGCAAGATGGTCGCATTGCTCTCTTTGAATTGAAAATAAAGGCTTTTTCACATAGAAATGGTTACATCGTTTCAGACAGACGGACCACTAGACAGACAAACAGAATGAGAAGGGTGGAGAGGGTTGGTACGAGACTGCAATCTCTTAAATGAGGAGGACATTTTAAAAATCTGATAGTTACGTAACAAGTGACAATGAAGGCGATCAACGGTATCTTCTTTGTATCCTCATTGTTTTCCGAGGATCCGTACACATTCACCATACATGACAGGTCAGTGACAGATTGCTTCTAGCTGCGTCATTGCGGTCAGAGTAACTGCAGTAATTATCAAGTCTAAAAATGAAATATCAAGATCAATTCGTCACCCATTATCTGTCGCTAAAATATATCATACGTGTTTATTATTTGAGATTAACTAAAGAAAGTTTACGATGATAATCCTCTCAGTATGTGCAAATTAAACAACCATGTAATGCATGAAGAGATGAGGGTGACAATTCAAAATTATGTGCTATCCAAGTTTTTCTTTCAGAAAAAAAACCTGCACTTAACATGAAAATTCCCTAAAAAATTTTCAGGCTTATGCTTTGAAACCTTCGTGCCGGGTAAGTACAATTGCCAGCTATACAAGTTAACTCTTACCAGCATTGGGCGAGCACGTGTCTGACGCCTATCCCGTACTGCGTCAGTTGAGTCATTTTCAGGCTCTTGAGATACTTCTAGCCAACCCTTTACAAGTATCTTGTTTTTATTTCTCTGAGTGATAAACCAAGCAAGTATGGAATCAAAGCTCCCCCTCGATATAACCCTAACGACAGACGATATCACGTCAATATTGATAGACAAGTATTACAATCGAGTTTGGATTCTAGTCACGTACGGAACGAGACCCAGTGTGTTGCTGAAGAAGACATGAACACGAGTTTCATCATTGTTGTTTTGGCTGCAGCGGTAATTTCAAACATTCGTGGAGGTAAGAGCATAATATAACTCTGATGAAATTTTTGATAAAAATACTTTGTAGACACTACAATTCAAAAGCCCTTGTGCGACGCTAAGGAAAAATTCCTTTAGATATAGATTCACTTTGTATTGTTGCTAAAAACCTGACTCTTTTTCTTTTCTTTACTTCCTTTGACTCTAAATTTCAACTCAGGACTTTGTAAACATGTTCGTTTTAAACAATTGTTTTCTAACGCTGCAAGTGCATTGGAGTAAGTAACAAGTAACTCAAATCATTGTGGACTGCTCCTTTCAGTTTCTTTGTTTTAATTTTTTTTCTTTTTTAAGTACAGCATTGTTTCATTTCGTGACTTGAAATAAATTCTTAAGCCAATATAATCGTGACACGATAAAATAACATATAGATAATCCAACAACATCAAATTATTGCTACGCTGTGTGATTTACGTGTGATGCTAAGAACATACTCTTCATATTGTGGTAAGAGAATTTTTGGCAAAGTTTAAACATGTTTTAGGCTGAACAAGTTTACAAAAAGTATTCTGTTGAAAACCAAATTTTATGCTCAACGGGTATTACATTTCCGTATCATGACAGTATTGGCCCCAAATCCCTTTTTTTAAAGAATGACACCCTCTTGGATGTCCTCAGAAAAACATTTAAAGCATTTTGGGCGATAAAACGAGTCTAAACACAAACGTTCAATAATGGATGAGCATCGTTGCTCACGCAGAAAAAAAAGAAAATCTCATATCAAATGTAAAGCTTTATCTAACTTGAATAGAATCTATAACATGTTGCGTTTTCACGACTAGAAGCTTTATAGAAAACTAAAATACAATTTAACGAGAGAAGTAGACTTCTGCATCTGAGGACAACTACAAGTACACTTTGTTGAAAGTGTACTTGTACATAGTTTTTCAACAGAGTGGTCAATCGTGATGTCTATTCCAAAAAAATCAATACCAATTGAAATAAAACATTGTATTTATAAAATAAATTCAATTTATTGGAACTTTGGCTACATACGAAAGAATTCAAAGCTAATCACTACATCAAACAAATTACAAAATAAATTATGAATAACGTTTGCCAGCTTGCATTGCTTTGGCAAACTTCCGCGCACATAAATAACTTTAACATACTGTGGCATCCACATTCAACAAAATCCTTTACTTAGACCATGACATTAACTAGTTCAGGTCCGTACGTTGGAAATCTTGCTAAGAACGGGAAATTTAGCTTTTACTCTCAGAAGTTACAGAAAATAATAGGGATCTTGGGTACAGCTGTCTCTTTTACTTCCCTTAAATTCCCTTAAAAGCAATAAAAAAAAAAAAAAATTAGACGTGTATCTACGAGTTCATAGGTGTTCGTGATAGACTCATTTAGCCACCTCCAGACTATATAAGATTTTCACACTTTTTTTTAACTTGAAAATGTCATATGTATTGAGTGGGCACGTGAAAAACATTTGAAAAACATTCAAAAAATTTAATCCCCTTCACAGAGAATTTTCCATTCACGCTTTAAGTTCTTGGATATGTTGAAGCCTACACGTGACTGAAAAACTCGCATTTGCGCAAGCATTTGTCTAACAAATTAGGAGTTTTAGTGGAGAACATGACGCAAGAGGTGATGAATAGGTTGTGGGGTAGTTAGCTGTCTTCAGCAAACCCTCGTCATACAACATTTGAACTTCAAGCCTGAAGTTTTGATTCCAAAAGCTTAGATACATGAAATTTCATTAAAATAAGCATCTGCGATGGCTGCATATCTGAGACACTACTGTTCTCAAAGCGATTTACTGAGGTAAGTAAGGAAGGTCATTGCCGTGAAAGAGATGTCTCGAACGGAAAATTTGGATAAGAACAGTTTAAGGACAGAATCGTTAGGAACATTAGCTTAGTAACATCTACTATGTTTATTTTCGAAAGCTTAACATTAAGTACTCTTTTTTCAGTTTTATCTCCGTCACCTAGTTTACCCAAGGAAAAAATTCAGCTACAATGCCTTCACAACTTCATCTTTTTGAAAATCGACTTAGACGACATTCCTAACATCAAGCCGTCTTCTCTACGTTTACGGCAGTTGTCATGCGAGCCATATTATGTTGCAAACAGTAGCGCTTTCTTTAGAGTACCTTTTCGAGGCTGCGGGACAACTCGCGGAACCAAGGGCAACTATATTTCTTTTTCAAATACTGTGGAAAATTCTGCGAGGTCATTAAATGAATCCCACGTGGTAGTATCGAATGGGCTCAAATTACACGTTCCTTTCACGTGTTACTACCGTTCAAAGTACACCATAACTGTACAGGAGACAGAGGGGGCTGAAACGAGAAATCACAGTACACAGAAACAAAAGAGTGAAGGTAAGGCGCAGGAACACAACGAACTCAGAATGACTGATCTAATTTCGTACCCAGATCCTACCGTATAACTTTGGCTGAAGTTACAACCGCTCAGCCGTGGAAGGTCTGGGTTCGAGGCTATGACTGATCTTCCAACATTTGGTGTTCCCCTGGCAATTCAATGGTAACCATATATATTCTTGTGTGGAGGCACAAGAACCCAACACAATTTTCCGGTCAGGTCTCGAACCCAGACCTTTAAGGTTTTGCAAGCTTCATACTACGCAGGGCGAGTTGGCGCAATTAGTTCAAAACCGTTCGCAGGACTGCCATATTTGATTTAGGCCTGGAACAGATGATGGGAAGAAGAGGACGAAGTTCATTCAAGAAATAAAAAAAACAGAAACTAGTTGGTTGGAAATATTCTATTATTATTTCTGTCTCAGCGAAAAAAAAAAGAATTTGCTAATTTGAATATTACCAACATTTCTTGTTAGGTCACGCAACGAGGTCAAGTCCAGTCCCTGTAGAATCTTCGTCTGATGAAAAAGTGATGCCCCTCACTTATAGCATTGTATCTGTTGTGTTCCTGTTGTTATCACCTATCTTCAACTGATATTTGCTTCATCTGCCACAGTCTGGCCGCAGGACTCCAGCTAGATTTGATTTGAAGGGAGGGGGTCGGAGAAAAGAAACCTCACTGCAAAAGACAGTTTTCTACATGATTAACTGATGATGACTTAGAGCCCACGTCTCTCTGCTTTAATCGAGAAAAAATCAAAACAAAACAAAAAGGGGAGGGGAACACGCTAATTTTTTCCTTTCCCAAAGCTCCTCGCGCCTAGCGCATGTCACCAGTTTCTCGTACCTAGTTCTCGTTCTTCAGGCTCTACAGGAAAGTTTTTTTAGGGGCCCGTCTTCACCTTAAAAACTGCGTTTATATCCTTTAAAATGGACGAGCTCTGTTCTGGCTCGTGTGAGTTTACTATGCTTTCCAGACGTACTTCAGGCGACTAAGAACCTATCACACATGCAAAGGTGACTGCGGAACGCTATCAAAGCGTCCAAAAATTCTTTCCCTACACAAAACGTTATTTGCCCGAACACTTGCTTTAGACTCAGCATCTACACCCCTACTCTAAACTCAAGAAGTCGCGTTAACTTAACAGATTCAAATAAAGGTCTCCGGGCGTGGTTAGCTAATAAATCAGACCACGCGCATGGCACGTGAATTCAAATAACACATAAAGAGGGGAGGAGAAGCAAACAGGGAATCAAAGTGGCACAAGTGATCGAGGTGATCTTTATATTCGTAACGGTTGTCACATTAACTTATCATCACAAATATATGGTCTCTTGAGATGAGCCTCCTAAATACAACTGTAAATAGAGGGTTCTTGTAAATTGTTTTGGGCAATGATGACAAGAGGAACGTCTAGCGTTATCGTGTGATGATAAGTGTCATGAGTGTTACCTCGCGCGCGCGCGCGCCAAAAAGCCTTCTATGACGTTACTAACGAATCGTTCGCGACGTGGGTTGTTTATTCTTCTTTGAGAATTCCTTGTGTTATCCACGTGTGGTAGCCCAAGACAAAAATGAAGAGGAGAAAAGTTTTCACCCTGGTTTTATTGAGCATTCTGATAACAAACACAGTTTGCCAAGGTAAGAGTCACCGGTGAAATGTCTAAGATTTAGAAAAGCTCATTTAAAAGCAGCTTAATAGCGTTGCAGCTATCGCGCTTTAGGATTTGAAAGAAAACTTAATCAGTATTCCTTACAAACTCCTGAAAAACATCTTAAGATGTTCTTTAAGAGTCTGTAGAAATACTGAAGAAGAATAGAACAAATTCTGGCTCATTTTGAAAGCAACGGATCAAGTAGGGGTCATTATTTTAGCATTTAAACCAAATTGTATTGACCAAAAAGCTGTGGTGAGAACCGGAAATGAGAAACTTTTAACTTTCGGTCGCTGTCTGCGTCTCCGAAACGTTTATGCTGAAGCTCCCTTATGGAATTGCCCTGTGTGGCATAATGAAAATAGGAAATGTCACTTGCAGTTCTTCTAATGCTTGAAACTGCATACTATAAATACATACGGAACAAAACACCAAAAGCAAAGACGAAAATTTCATTTCCTAATAACACTGCAAGATCTCAGGTCATAGAAAGTTCTCTAAAATACCAAACACCATCAGGTTCTAAGCTCAAATTCAAGCTTGAGCCAATAATATAGACTTGACATTAACGATGAAGAGCTTGCAAAAGAGTACTTTGAAATATTAGTAATTTTGAATAATGCGCTTAAAGACTAGATCGAGAAGGTTGTTGGTCTTCCCTCTTGTTCCTTTTTCCCTTGAGCCCCACCAAATTGTTATATTATCACTTTTTTTCATGTCACAGATATACTCTCATCCAATGATGAAATGATTAACGATGCCCCTGGCGGAAAGGTTTTGCCAGCGTCAAAAGATGCTTCAAAGCCTTCAAAAGATGAAAGAGATCTTAAAGATGGCGAGATAGACAAATTTTCCGCAAAGTTCATGCGAGCGTTTGTTGTAAGCCGAGCGGCGAAGAAAAACAGAAAGCCCGCTTCATCGCATGGGGCACGAACACATGGTTCTAAATCTAACAAAGGGAAGCATAGATTTGTGTTTCCATCGAAAAATTCAACATTGAGCACAAGCAAACCTTTTGAATCGATCAAAACAAAAATTCAACCTGCGGTTCCCCAGTTGACAACGGTATCTACTGAAGGAAAAATTATCTCTTTTAAATCGATCAAAACAAAAATTCAACCTGCGGTTCCCCAGTTGACCACGGTATCTACTGAAAGAAAAATTATCACGTTAACTGACACACCATACGAAAATTCAGAGAGAATTTTACATGAAGGCGGTGCTACTAAAAATGACAAGAGAAAATATACACAAAGTGATAAACACAAATCTCGGCCACAAAATAAAGACATAGTCACTGAAGAGCAAAAACCTCGCGGTGGGACCACACTAACACCACTAGTACCTACCCGACATGGTACCACCACAGCAATACCAACCGCTACCTTTCTTGTTACCCCCCGAATTCAACCATCTGAAAGACTTCGTTCGGAATTGTCTGATGATCATGATAAAGCTGGATCTGATAAGGATACAAAAGACGAGCGTGTCACTAAAAAAGGAAAGAATTGTCGTTTCTCAGCTGAAGAGCAGCCAAGATCAAGTCCGCTAGCCACAAACTTTGCGGGAGTGTTGGCTGGAATTTTAATTTTGTTACTGATTTTCATCGTCACTCCTCGTTTAACGTAAGTAGAAACCTTTGCTTAGACGTTTTTCGAAAGTCAAAAATCTGTGATTGACGAAATCATATTCTCATAAGTCATTCAGCAGGTAAATTATTATTGAGAGTAAGTCACTCTCTGCTTAAGAACCCATTTGCCGATTCTTCTCGCCGCAAAAGACGAGCCCGCTTATTTGCGCGGAAGAAAAGCGGTATACACCACTTTACGTCAGGCGCTCGGAATATTGGAACTTTGACGTGCTTGTATTACATTACTGTGATGTATTATATTTAAAAAATCTCGGCGCTGGTGCGACTTTAGAGACTTGAACTTGTGTTCTTTTGCTCGCTTTAAAAGCAAATTTTGTTCACGTGTCTGTTCTTTCAGAGTGCAGAGGCAAACCAGTCTACACAGAGAAATCAAATTGGTTAATTTTATTTTACTCCATCTTTTTACTTTTAATAGAAGAATTTACAGCGACCGCTGGAGACGACGGAACAATCCTGAATTCGGCTTAAACATTCCACCAAATGGCTACTTAAGCGAAGAGTTGAGCGAGGAGGAAATCATCTTTGACCGAGCAGTCCTGGAACGAAAAAATAGTTCATCGAAAAATGGTTTCTCTAAAGCGACATCCTGGACATCTTCAAAGTGGCTGTCACCAGACCATTATTCAAATATTCAGTCTTCAGGTGCAAAACAAGAACAGAAAATATGGACATTGACCGAAAAGCCGAGATCTACTCCTCTGATGGCTGTTCCTGAGAACACTGAAAACCCTGAAGCAGAGATTTTGACCGCCAATAAGAATCTGGATCCAAAATTAACGGAGTCTTGGTTATCCACTTCATCCCTGTCTGAATCAGAAAATTCTACACCGGCTGAAATATCTCGGTCTGGATCTCTCACCAGTGTATCTATATTTTCACTGACACCTGAATTTGGAGGTCTTGACGATGAATTCTCCTCATACGAGTCAACTTCAAGTTGTGGCTTTCCTGACACTAAAGTATCCGAATCACTGCCTGCAACAACCCTCTCGACTACTGCTTCAACTGAATCCTCAATTGTGACCATCCCTGAAACATCATCATTACCAAACCCCTCTACCCCTCATCAGTTCTTCAGTTTGTTCCTTAACCCGGCTTCTTCTGATAAATTGGCGCACACCTCGTCGATGGAACCAGATCGCATCGGTTCGTCCTCAGAGTCCTGCAAGACAGATGCGACCTTCCCAGAGCCATCGCCTTCACCACACTCATCTGCTACGCGGTTGTCCTCAATTCTAAGTCTACAGCCGGTCTCTTCTGATGAACAAACACTAACATCGTCAGTGGCAACGGATCGCAAATCCTGCAAAATACCCGTGGCTCCTCGTAATGAGGTTGTTATTAGAATTGACGATGACGAGGACAAAGAAATCTTCCACTCGAATGAAAATAATGAAGAAATAGTTGGCAAGGATGTGAAATCAGCGGGTCAAGTATCGATAACAGTGGAAGATATGGTAGAGGAAGCAAGCAAAGACACGTTGTTTGTCAGTCGAGTGTTGTAAAACAGGTTGCAAAAAACTGGTTAAATTCTTAGATTTACCGTACCAAATCGCGAATCTCACCCGTAAAAACAATTTGTGAATGAGCTTGAATCTTTCAATTGATATGCTTTTGAGTAAATGAACTCCAATGCTTGGTTTCGTCACGGTGTTGACATCATTGATAGAAAATAAAAAATGTCAACCACAATTGAGGATTGTATCGATAGTTTTTTCTCTTTTTTTACTAAAAAAGGTTATCAGTATATCTTAAAATCTGAAGACAGTAAATAAATTTATTCAGAGTTTCTTAGCTCACATACGTGTTTCCGTTCAGCTCTGCTGCTGAATTTTTTATTCATGTTGTTCTAATAAATATTTGCCAGAATTTTATTTCTCCTCTTGAATATTTTCCCTTCCTTCAGTTTGTTCAATGTTCTTTTGGTGCCCTTCCCACAAACCCTGAAAGCGAAGTTGTTTCTCAAGTAACTAAAATTTATATTTGATGAATGAATTTAAAAGTGAAATGTTTGAAGCCCCAGTTTCTGTAATTGCTAACTTGCAGCATACCAGCTAAGATAATTGTTCTACTTGATCCTGAAGTAACTTTCCCAGTTTGTACCCGTGAATACTGCTGTAGTTTTAAATATACCGACGTTTTATTTATTGCCGTCATAGTACAGTGGTTTTCAAATGGGAAAATGCTAAGGTTGTAACCATAACATCAGCATAAACATTCGCTCAGTGGATGATGTCATATCATTAGACAATACTCGACATCTCGCCCACTTGATCGTTACTAATTTCACTCTAGTGGGAGGTGTTAGGTCATATTTTGTTTCTCTATTATTAAACGTTCTTGTGTGTTTTCTTAAGCCATTTTGAAGTGCCGATGATGTATGAAATTTCTTTACTTGAGTATACGTCATGAAGTTGAATGACAAGGTGTGAATCATTGTTCATAATCTCGTGACAAAAAAAAACATCTGTTATCCCACCCTCCAAAGTGTTCTTTGGACTCGGATAGATAGCACGGGTCCGAGCTAATATTTTACAACAGAGGAGTTGAGGTTTTGAGCGTGGTAAGCACATTATCTGTTCAGCTGTTTTAGTTGTTCTACCAGGACTACAAGATGAAAGTTACTTTGGTTTTGGGCTTAGCTTTCTTCTGCTCACTCTGGTCAGGAGGTAAGCTGATGTTTCTTGTGCGAAATACTCTACTCATGCGTGTGGTGGTTATACGGATTTGCTCGAAGGCCGCTTTCAAATTGAGAGTGAAATCTGACATTGTCCTTTTCCTTGGAAATACATATTGCCGATTGAGAGTCAGTTCGTCGGCTAACAGTTATTCTTTTCTTGTGGTTCACGTACAAAGACATCGACGGATCAAAAACAAAAAATAGTTGGAATTAATAACGATCGATGGTCGATCACGAGCATGTAGATTTACTTTAGTGACGCAAAGCTTGGCAAGTGAGACGGAAAGTTCAAACTTCTAGACTCTCAATCAATCATAATGACTGAAGATAGGATTTCAATTGTTTTTTTTTGTGTGGAAATTACCATTCCCGTATTTCGATATAACTTTGTTACATACATTTGCGCTGTTTAGACTGGAGTTATATTACGAGAACAGAGTAAATCTGCGAATGATATAACGACAGTGAAGTCCAATATTTTTTCCGCATTCAAAGAATTTCACGAATCCTCAACTACTGGGATCTGTGAAGAAGTTTTCTAAATGTCAATACTGAAGCTAGCGTTTCCTTTTGTTAACTTTTTACATTTTGTATCATGATCTTCCACGCATTTAATAACTGTACAGCTAGTCTGGTCGATAATGTAATGTCGCTACTCAAATTAGCATAGCTATTTGTGCTAGATATGCAGGTGAAAGTCGCGTCCATTGAATTTCGTTTAATTAAAAATTTTGTAAGACACCTTCTATACCGAAGGCAACCGCAAAAGCAGTTGAAACTGGCTTGTGTTGAAAGTTGCGGAGATGACTGCCCGTAGTTAATTTTAAGAAATGATCTCCCATATATATCCGGTAGATTATAATAGCTCTCCGAGTTGTTTTGCTGTAGCTCGGCTTAGTGGTCTGTTTCAAGAACATTTTGGTAGCTGTTTGACTCGCAAGAATAGTAATGCAGGTCTTCAGTTTCAATTTAAAAATGATTCATATTGATCTTGAAAATTTTACCTCGAAGAGCACGGTGGTGAACGCGTCAGACAAAACCGAAATGTCAAACGCGAAATGAACGCGAACGTTCCTAGAAAGGTAGGAAAACCAAAATGTGGAAAGAAAAACTGAAAGTTACATATTCAGAGGTTTATGTAATGGCATTTATTGTGGCTGAGAACAAAGATCGACCTGGAAGGTTTGCTACAGGCTGATTGTGGCTGTGTGCCTGAGAGATTTCTTCTGTCGGCAAGGACCAAGTCAATAACCGAGAATTCTGTATATTGAAAATTACACCTATTGTTTGTTTTTGTAGTGTTTCAATGCATTTTTTCATATTGAGCCTTAGCACCAATGCACTTTACGATTTTCATTCAGGAATTATCTATCCTTTTATTTTCATTCGTTAAGAAAAGTTGAATTTTCTTGTCAGTGATGGAGCTATCATGTTTATAGGATAAACAAAATAATACATGGTTGCTTCTAGATACGAAATTTATCCTCTCATGTCCAACTCGAGCTCACTTGTGAGATATCGAGTTCACTTGAACACTCGAAGAGAAATTCCATATCTATGCATGCCCATATATTATTCTCTATTTAACACAGTACAGTTTTTAAATGATGGAATCTAGGGTTTCCAGCAATATTCATAGGCCTTTTACATCTGATAAAGAGGTGAACCAAAAAGAAAACATCATGGGAAAGATTGCTAAAGGGCGATAGATTCGAAAGGTTATGCGTGCTCATATATACATCTTGGTGAACTTCTATTCCATTATGTATGTTTTGTGACAAAGAAATAGGGATCTTTCGAGCAAGATTTATTGCATTTCCATCAGTGGAAACAATGGTACTTCCTAGTTGATGATACTTCCTAGTACCTGTTGGTAAAAAAAGTTCATGAGACCAAATTTGAGATAGAGGAAGAAAACACAAAATTGCAAATAGCGAGGAAGTTACCTTTGTAACCCCCATTTATTTTGGCTTTTAAATGATTGGTGGGACAAATTTCTCAAACTGTGAAAATTTTGAGAGATTTCACAGCATCAAATTGATTTAAATCAAAGGCAAAGCCAAATTATCAGTGGCAAGGACCTCCATTCATGTAGCCTGGCTTAATAACAGAAATCTTTTTGATAATATTTACTACAGCAAACATGCAATAGTCTGAACCTTTCTTATCGCCTGTTGATTGCTTTGAGTGACCTTGAAAAACAAAAACAAACAAATTTTTTAGAAAAACATTACTCTGGTGTGTACACCAGC